TTATGGAATTTAAACAGATGTTCTATTTGGTCATAGTTAATAAAATGAATTCTGGAGGATTAAAATCCGGCTCAGTGTGTTTGCACTCGATTATAACTGAAAGACAACTTCCCATTAAAAGTTTGCAAAGTCTGTTGGTCATTCTGCATTTGACAATCACTGAGATGTAGATCACTGAATGCCTACAGCACTCCTACTCCAACAAAGCCAAACTAACAAAAATAATTTTTCCAAGGGTTAAGAAAATGGAAATCTTGGAAAAGTATGTCCAACTTGGAATCCCACTGCCTAGCAAGTGTGCAGATCATAGCAATGCAGCGTGTCATCCGAACAGCCACTGCTTGGCTGTCTCCAGTCCCAATTTGAGCTGCCTCGCCCTTCAGAGATGAGTGTGGTGTCTGGTAGCATGGGAACAAAACAGAACAGAGCTTAATGGAATGAGGAAACCAACACATACTTACTGAGAGCCCACTGTGGAGAGTCTTTATGCTGGAAAACCAGCGTGCAAAGGGGGGAGAAAAGGCAACAGCTTCGAGAGAAATGCAGGCTATCTTAAAAAAAACAAAAACAAAACGCACTGGAAACCAAAGGTGAAGGAAAGAGGCAGATCAAAGAAACAATGTCAAAGACACACTCTGGACACAGAGCTAAAAAGAAAACGTCTTATCAGACAGTGAAAAAGTACAACCTAGAAAGCGGGAAGCAGTGGGCAGACCTAATGGCAGCAAGTAGTAAAGCTCTAGGGCAGCTACCTCACATCATTCTTCACAAAGGACGCTGAAGTGCCAGGACTCGCTCAGAAAGTCTCTCAGCTGAAGATGCACCTCGGTGGCAGACAGCCTGCTGGTCTAGCAAGCCCTAGGAACAATCCTAGCAAAGCAAAAGGCTTTCTTTGAAAGGATTGTTGTGCTGGGTAATATTCTGTCAACAGGGCACAAGCTAGAGTCACTGGAGAAGAGGTACTTCAACTGAGAAAATGTCTCTACCAGACTGGCTATGGGCAAAGCTGTGCTGCATTTTCTTGATTGATAATCACTCGGTGCTAACCCTTGGCAGGTGGTCCTGGGTTATATAAGAAAGCAGGCTAAGCAAGCCGTGGGGAGCATGCCAATAAGCAGCATTCCTTCATGGGTTCTGTTTCTATTCCTGCTTGAGTGACTTCCCTCAGTGAAGGACTGACATGAAAATGGAAGCCAAATAAACCCTTTCCTCCCCAAGATGCTCTTGGTCAGAATGTTTTTAGCATAGCAATAGAAAGCAAACTAAGATGATACTCTTATTTGGAAAAATGCAAATTAGTCTTTTATATAAGTTAGCGATGTAATTTTTTAAATCACAAATTTTTCTGACCTATTTATATTAATGATTTTGAAAGTCTAACCATTAGAGTAACTATACCCCACACTATATTTACAATGATAAACTCTCTCCCAGACATCTGGATGAAGCATCATGACCCTTGGCTAGCAGCTGTATCAGCAACAGCAGTCCTGGGCCCCTCTTTCAAACGCCTGCTACCAGTATCAACAGTTACACATTCAAACACAGACAGAACCAAGAGGTTTCCAGAGGCAAGAATTTAGCTTCAAGTAAACTCTAATCTGGGTGTAAGAGCAATTGAATAACTTTTGTACCTCAATTTGGGCCTTGAATTTTCAAAACAGGGTGTACAATCTATTTAACCAGCTTATAAGTCGGGGAGAAGGGATGTCTTTAATCTACCTCCAAACTATTGAGTGGGCCACTCTCCTGTTCAAGAAGCCAGGAGGTAACCATTGTTAAGATGGCAACATCTACAACAAACACAGCACCAATAGCATCATCCCTTCAGATCTGAGGAGCAAAAGCCACAAACTGGAAATTTCTCCTCTAGGACACAAAATCAGGCTCCTTCTGGAGCATCTCCCACGTCTTGTCCTCCAGCCTTATAGCTAACACACAGCTGAGGTGAGAGGTTCAATTCATCCTCCTTGCAAGCACCCCCAGTGCTCTGAAAGCATCCTTCCTTAGCTGGAGGGTCATCTAGGGAACCTAGGAAACCCTGGATTCTACTTATACATGCAACACACACACTCCCTCCCTGTCTTTGTTCAGGGTATTATATCTAACTCTCACTCCTTCTAACTGCAAGCCTTCAAGAATCATGGCTCATTTTGTGTGTCTGTGTGTACATGTTCGTACCCTCAAATGCACATGTATGCAAGAATGTGAGCATGTACGTGTGAGCATGTGGCGGTCAGAGGTCAACATCAAGTGTCTTCCTCAATCACTTTCCCCCTTGTTTTTGGAACTCACCAAACCTGGACTCACCAGTTCCTCTAGGCTGAGTAACTAATGAGCCCAGGGATCTGGCTACCTCAGCTTCTCCAACCCTGGGATTATAGGCAAATGCAATACAACCCTCTTTTGATGTAGGCTCTGGAGGATTCAAACTCAAGTCCTCACTCTTGTATGGCAGGTACTTTACCAGCTGAACCACCTCCTCGGCCCTAAGGCTCACTTTTATCATTGTGGCAAATGCTAAGTGCACCCACGTGGGTGTCCTCTGTGTATCACTACAGCCCTTAACTGCATGGTAAAGAAGACTGCCCTGTGTGCTTCCCCATCGGGGCAGGGCTGTTCTGCATAGTGCTAAGTAGAGTTTGTACTTAACTCACTCCAAGTTCTTTTAAAACAGATTGCTTTTCTCTGCTTTCTTTCCCTACCCAAGTCCTTCTAATTCTCATTCAACAGCATGAGGCTAATTTGCATAGAACTTTCAGGTCCATGGACCTGAAGTCATCTAGACTACACCCACAAATACGACTGTGCTCCCCACTTCCATCTTACTGCAATAACCCCAATGCACCAGCCATATCTAATTTGGTCAAGACCATGAAAAAGAAGAAAAGAGAAAAGGTGAGGCAAATAGTCTAATCTGTTCATCTTGCTCAGACTCTGCAAAATTCACAGAAACTGAACTAGTTCAGGAGAACGGGAGGCTAAGTATACAATCTCTACAAAGAGCAAGCACACACAATGCATGGCAGTACAAAGCCCAGAGGACACACATCGTGTGTCGCAGATTTCTAATTGGTTTTAATAATAAAAACTCTGAGTCAGATATAGGGGTTAATGCTGAAGATCAGAGAAGCAAAGCAACCAGCCACTAGAGTTCTTACCTCTACCAATGCTCAGACAAAAGGGGTGATCCTGTCCTCAACCTGACTGCCTAGACTACTGCAGACTGACTGCTGCTCAGACTACACTGAGCTCCTGTCTTCTGCCTTATATTTATTCCTTTCCCTGCCCAGCCACACCCCTTCCTGTCTCCACCTCCCTAGTGTTGGGATTAAAGGCATGTGATCCCAAATGCTAGGGTCACCTTTGTATGAGCTGTCTCTTTTTTAGACTGGATCAATTTCATGTAGCAAATGTGGCCTTGAACTCACAGAAATCCACCTGCCTCTGTCTCCTGAGTGCTGGGATTAAAGGTGTTTGCCACCACTACCTGCCTTCTATGGCTAACTAGTATGGCAGCTCTGCACTCTGATCTTCAGGCAAGCTTTATTTGTTATAGCTTATACAAATATCACCACAATCGTGCTTCTAATGCATGGAGCCAAACTTCAATCCCTCCTAAAGGCTACTGCTAGTGAGACAAAACTATTTCAAAGAAAAAAATTGCACAATGAACAAATCGTATACATTTCCTGGTGGTTCCCACTAAAGCTTCTGTGTATTTCTTATTGAAGCAATCATATGGGCTCTAGACAAAAGGATTTGATATTACTGTCAGGATAATATAAGGTTTGAAATTCTTCATAATGCAGAAATGTTGTTTAGAGCAGACCCATCACTTCTGATTTGTCTCACTTGGAAAAGCAGCTACGTTTCATTCGGCAGTAATTCCCCTCTCATCCCAGCTGTGGCTGTGCACGGAGCAACACCTCAACTGAAATCAGCTCTGAAGGCTCCTTCATGAGCTCCCATAATGCACAAGACCCCAATTAAACTGCCAACAAAGCTCTGCCATTTTGAGTAAACAGAGTCATCTCAGTAAGGTCACACAATTCACAAGGACTGCAGCCAAAAAATTAATTACTAGCACGACATATGTCAAAACAAATTTTTGAAACGATGGAACAACAGTTGTGAGCATGTGTTTTATATCTTTGTATGCAAAACTAGCACTCTCTGGAATGAAAATACATTCATTTATTCAGCCCTTTTCAGAAAAATAAAAAAATGTTGATTACTCTTTCCTTCACTTTTTTCTGCATCCAGGTGAAAGATGAGCAAATAACACAGGCACAGCGAGTCAGAAAGAGGGCAAAAGGAGACTCGCGCAAGTGATATTTCTGACAGAAAGTAGGAACAAGTGTGGAGCACTCCATCTGTCAAAAAGGAAACTGTTGGGCTCCACAACAAGGTAGGGTAGGTCATTACCTCATGAAAACCAAAGGCCTAACCATACTACACACTGTTCATGCACCCTAAGGCGGCCTGCATGGAAAACTGTGTCCTGGACCAAAAAACGTTTCTCACATCTCACTACATAAAAATCCAAACAATCTCCTGCAAAGATTAAGGCATGCTGTCTAGAGTATCTAGTGCATCATTACTGAGAGCAGAGTCTTGCGTTATCACTCCCTCTCCTACCCCACCCCACTCCAAAAAAAAAAAAAAGTACAGCATGTTAATTAGAAGGTCCTAGATGACAGCGCTGGGTTTCTCTCCAGAAAGAGTCCCCAGCCCGTTACATAACTAATCTTGCCATGTTCTTCCTCACTATTTCAGTTACCAGACACTTAGTCACCTAGAATGACAATGACGCCAGCCCAACCAGCAAACCACTGCAAGCATTCTTCTAGATGGAAGAACCAAAGGTGCAACTAAACAGTTTCTGAGTTGATTTCTTAAGCCAGTTTCTCCAAATATATTTCTGATTCTTAAGAAACACAGGGTCACCAATCAAAGTCCACCCTGCTTTGGGGCTTCAGGAATCGTAATTGGGTTACCTCTCTCAATACTGTGCTCTTGTAGCCTCGGTACAGTCCTTGGATGCCCTGAAACAAAAGTCAAGTGATCAGAAAATTGGAATAACTGACCTCATTCCTACAGTTGGTAACAAACCAGATATATGAGCAACCAGGAGATGAGGAAGGAGACTAAATACCAGCCAGGGACAAACAGGAAATCCCCACCTCCAAACAAACCACAAACAATAACTTTTTCTTTAAACCTAAACTAAGATTTGCTCACAATAGTTAAGGACAAAGAAAAAAGAAGGTACTACATGATGGCAGAAGCCACAGCCACATAGGAGCCCAGGCAGCAAGAATGAATAACTCCAGAAGTTCAAGACCAACCTGAGGTAACACAGCAAGACTTTGACTCAAATATCAAAGCAAAATAACAACATAGACTTCCACTAAACTTATAAGAAAACAGCAGCATGCCTAATAGCCATGTGTCTAGGAGGGCAGCTCTGACTACAGCCAACACTCATCAGAGAGAGAAAGAACATTTACTTGCTTGTTAGTTTGTTTGTCTGTCTGTTTGTTTGTTTGAGGGTCTCAACATGTAGCCCTGGTTGGCCTGGAACTCACTGTGTAAACCAGGCTGACTTCAAAACTTAGAAAGCCCACCTGCCTCTACCTCCACAGTTCTGGGATTAAAGCCATGAGCCCCCATGCCAGGGGAGAAATGGCAATTTCACAGAACATAATGATGCTGGTAATGATTGCCAGCCCACTACTACACTTTTAGATTAAATAATGCTTCTCTCTTAAGGGCTCGCATACACTGTAGCAATGTTATAAAGAGTATCTCAGTTCCTTCACAAGATTAGTTTGTCTGATTCTGATGCCTGAGACAGATTGCATTCAGGGCATATACAACAAGTGGTACTAAATAAATGCATGACTGCTTCAAAATTTATAAAAATAAAAATTCAAAATCAAAGGAAAAGATAATCCCAGCAAAAAAGTTATTGTAGTTAGACATTAAAGCCATCCTGAGTTTTCCAAGACCTCTGCAACAAGCCCACAATGTTCTCACTATAATCTCCCTTAACAGAGAAAGGAGGAGTCTAAAAGCAGCCTTACCTCTTCATGTAAGATAGTAGAGAAAATCTGCAAGGTTTTTGAAGAAGCAGACACCTGTGCCCGCTGCTTAACCACTTCAGAAGGAACACGAATCAAGCAAGCAACCTAAAATAGACAAATGTAATTATATCTGAAAAGTTGCTGTTGCAAAAGTGACATCTTTTCATAAGCAAAACTAGTAACTCTAACTCTTAAGGTTTAATGTGAGGTGCCAAGTGTCATCAGTGCCAAAACCCTCCTCTGAATGACATCTACTCACCTTTAGACACTACATCCCAAGCATATGTACACACCGCTCAGTGGCAGGAAGAAAATTCCATGAATCCCCAAATCACAGAAGAGTATTCACACATAATCAACTTTTCAACCCTTTCTGCCAAGGAATATACCAGAACAACCTTTGCTGGACTAGAAGTAACACACCAGGAGAGATGAAGCTGACTGTAGGCTGGCACTCCTCTTCCTCCCCACCACACACCAGTCTCCACCAACTCTCCAGCAAGCCTGGCACCTAGTTCTTCCCACCACACACAGCTGAGGAACCATTCCAGCACCACCATTCCAGTCCTGGCTAGCCATACTCACACCTCGCTAAGTCAACAAGCAATTCTTAAATTGCCTTTGTGACGTGAAGGCTGGCAGTCTACTTTCAGAGTCAAAAGACTAATTGTTCAAACCAGAAGGCAGGAGTGAGGATGGGTCCTCAGCCACAGGGAGGAAGACATAAAGGGGTTGCTAAACTGTTTAAAGAGAAGGCCTGTGCTGAAGCCTTGACACAGTAGTATTCCAGATAGACAAATGCTTTCTTCATCTTGGATTGATATCCAATGCTTTACATATGCCTGGAGGACACTGAATATCAGCTTTTAGAATATGAATATATATTTAGATGTAAGGGATGACAAAAAATACAAATAATCTTTTTTCGGTGACACACAATGCCACTTCTGGGGTGGCTGGGAGAAGAGGATCCAACCAACATTCAAGGCCTCCCTGAACAACTTAGCAAGACTGTACATAAAAAACTAAAGTAGAGGGGCTGAGGACATGCAGTCATATAGCCATTAAAAGCATGTATGAGGCCCTGGGTTCAGTCTCTAGTACCACAAGATAAACTATGCTGCAATATAGAACTGCTCTCACTATATGCCCAGGCTGGCCTTCAACCCATAATCCTCTTAACTTCTGAAATGCTAGAATCACAGCCACACATGCCTGGCCAAAGCTCTGTCTTTTTTCCTTAAAAATACAGTATTTATATCAATTCTTTGAAAGTTTCATGCATGTATACATTGTATCTTTAGGAATTTCATACATGTATACAATGAAATATGATTATCTACCCCCAACATAATCCCCTTCCCAACCTATGTCCTGTCCTCTTTAAAGAAAAATTATCCATAAGTCTAGTTAGTGCTGCCTATGTGGAGCTATCCACTGGAGCATTATGGTATGGGTATCGTTTTTCATTCTGCTGGCCAATAGGAATCTAGATAGGTGGGACTAGGAGTCCAGGAGAACTCTGGGAAGGAAAAACACAGAGAGTCGAGATGTAACGCCATGGGGTAGGAAGCCCGGAACTATTCTCTGGTAAGAGAAATACTTAAATTAACAATTATGGGGTAATTACTTAAGTCAGAGTTAGCCAGTAAGAAACAAGCAAGGCCAACAGCTTCATAATTAATATAGCCACCTGTGTGTTTATTTGGGACTGATGCGGCTCTAGAACCAGGTTGGCAGGAAGGCTTCTCTCAAGGAAAAGGCCTCCCTTTACATGGTGGACCTACCAAGGGCACACGCCTAAAAAAAAAGGCTGGCTCTCCCCCTTCCCTCCTTTCCACCCTCTCCCTCCTCTCTCCCTTCTCCCTCCCTCCCCATTTTTCCATTCCCCCTCCCTCAGCAGCCATCAACCCTCTAAAGCTCTCAGTTAGGGGCAAGGCTGGTGAGCCCCCTCCACTCCAGACTGGAATACTGATTTTGTATAGCTCTTGTGCAGTCAACAACAGCTTCTGTGAAAACTGTCTATAATATATTGCTTGCCCCAGTCCTTCTTGATCTCTGTCTTTTAAAAATTTCCTTCTCCCTCTTCCATGATATCTCCTGAGCCCTGGGAGGACAGGATGTGGTATAGATGTCCCATTTATACTGAATTGGTTACTCCCATAACATTCATGCCACTATTACACAGATGTATTAACTTGTCAGGCCATTGAAGATTCCTAAACACACACACACACACACACACATACATACATACACACACACACACACACACACACACACACACACACACACACACACACACACACGTGTTTCCTTGGAGTTACCCTAAACAGGGCACAATGTTTCTCCAAAAGCCATAGCTTGCCCAAATGACAGCCCAGTGTCAGTGTCAGGTATGGGATACCTCCCCTTAAGTAGTTTACAAGAGGTATCCTGGAGACCCCCCAAGACAATACAGGCTATTATCACTGTTCTTGGTTGCTCACCAGAACTTGATGGTAAAATCCTATCACTGAAGACAATACACACTATTGTCACAGGACCACAGGACGTGGAGAAATCAAGTTGGTGCTAACAGGGTGGATTCTTCCTGCTGGTTAGACTTCACAGAGCCAAAGATGCTGTGAAAGCTGCTGGTGGAGAACTGTTGGCAGCAGCCTCATTCAGCCCAGGCTTTCTCTTTTCAAAGCATATTCTTCTCATTTCTAATCACAGATTCTAATCTAACCTGGATATAACAAAAGAGGTTTTGTTCTTTCCAAAATTAAGTGGCTCTAAGAGTTACAAAACTTTTGATGTCAAAACATTAGTGGCAAACATTTTAGATTCTGCAAGCTTCATGGTCTCTATTACAATGGTTCAACCACAATGATTTTAGTATGAAGAAGTCATAGACAATTACATGCAAAAAATAGTTTATGTATGTTCTAATAAAACCTATTTATAAATGCAAGCAGTAGTTTTCTCTAGGTATAAACAGTGGCAAATTCTTCTTTGGTACTATCCATAGCACAGCACAGATGTACACCTCAGCACTCCACGATGCAAGGACAAAGGTGACATGATGTATCTCTATGTGCTTTGGAGTCAGCTGGCATGGACACATAATCTCTGAAAAGCCAAAGAAGTGGTGCTTCTTGTTGACACACAACAAGAGATATGATTCTAATGAAGAATTCACTACCTCAAATTACACCTCTCCAAAAATTGAAATTTATAAAACAATAAAATTTAATTTCCATTTGTTCACATTAAGCACTGGAATCCCATAATACCAAAAATGTCTGCAGACATTCCCTTGCACTGTTGGCTATAACAGTGTGATATAGCCACCTCCTTTGTTAGGGAGGCTTAGGACACATATGTCTAGCAAAGGTCAGGACCATTACATCCAAGTAGGTCAATAATCTGTTGCCATGATAAAAGCAAGGCAGTTGGCAACTAGGAGAAAAGTGGGATCATATATGAAGACATAGAGGCTATGACAGGGTGGTCAGGAGCCCTGTCCAGTTCCATCCAACATGGAACCATTCCTGTACCAAATGACTCTAAGCCCATGATGTGGACAGAGGGGCTTCAGGTCACTACTGGGATACTGGGAGTTACCTCTTAAGCATTTTCCTGACCACTCTCAGTTTCACTCTGTTCCTGTTTCACTTTTATTTCCTGACTAATGAAGACATATACATTTATACAACTGTATGTATATACTGTTATCCTCCTTAATCGATCTAAAGCAGAAGTTTTTATGTTATCCATTAGCTACTACTCTTCTTATGTGTTGTGTGTGGTATAGCAAGTATGTAGTGTGTGTGTTCATATGGTCAAGCTCATGTGCCTGTGGGTGCACACACAGAGGCCAGAGGAAGACACTGGATATCTGCTCTATTGTTTCACCTTACTTACTGATTTATTGTCGTTCTTTTTCTTGTTGTTAAGACAGAGTCTTTCTCTTTCGCTCTCCCTCTCACTGAACCCGAACTCAGTGACTGAGCTAGGCATTCAGACAGGAATATTCTTGTCTCTATCACCCTCCAGCGTTAGGGTCACTGACATACTCAGGTATATGGTTTTTCGTGAGCGCTGGGAATATGAACACAGGTCCTCTTGCTTTCACAGGGATTTTCCTGCCCACTGAGCAACTCCTCTTGGTCTCTTATTCTATATTTTTTTCTTTACTTTCTCATCACTATACCTTCTCTATCCAAAAAAAGTCCGTCATTATTCTTAATTCCTAAATAAACACTACCTGAGATTTTTCACTTATTGACTTTGCATGTGTGCATGTATACAGCTACATAAACACTCATATGTAGCAGGCTTTCTCAGACTGTCAGCCCACAAATCATGATATGGAGGCTTATCATTAGTTATGAATGCTCAGTCTTATCTGATGCTTGTCCCATTGCTCTTCTAACTTACTTTCTCTTTATGTTTTACCTCAGGGCTTTTTACCTTTCTTTCATTCTATATGTCCTACTCCATGTCTGGCCGGCTCGCAGCAGCCTGGTTGGCTGGCCCTAGGCATCTCCCTCTTTTTTTTTTCCTCATTCTCTCGAGCCTAGATTCCTCCTACTACTACTTGTTCTGTGTCTGCCAGCCCTGCCTAACCCTCTACTGATTAGCTGTTGGCCATTCAGATTTTTATTAGACCAATCAGGTGCCTTAGGCAGTCAAAGCAACACATCCTTACATCATTAAACAAAGGCAGCATAGATAAATGTAACGCATCCTTATATCATTAAACAAAGGCAGCATAAACAAATGTAACACATCCTTACATTATTAAACAAAGGCAGCATAAACAAATGTAACACACCTTTACATGGTTAAAGTAATATTCCACAACACTTGTGTGCATGTGCGTGCTGAGGCCTGAGGTCTACACCTGGTACCTTCCTCAAATGCTTGCCACCTTTATATTTTGAGACAGGGTCTCTCATGGAACCTGAAACTTGCCATTTCAGCTAGGCTGGCAGGATGGCCAGTGAGTCCCGTGTAGCTTTTACATGGGTGCTGGGGGATTTGAATTCAGATCCTCTTGCCTTCACAGCAAGCAGTCTTACCCACTAAGCCAACTCCCCAGTCCTACTTACTTATAA